TTTACCACTTTCTGCAGACCTTTCTGAAATGTACACATTCCATGCCATATTATGACATGGCGTGTTGGTATACTCTCTATTGCACCCCTAAAAACTGTTGTTGTGCCCTTCTTACCACAGCTGTCCATAAATGGTCATTCATAATAACCAATCCCAGGAACCTAAAACTGTTCCCCGGTTCAACCTCCTAACAGCCTTAGGTATTGCTGGCATGTGATGCTGAGCATCCAAGTTTGAAGGAACTGAAATGTAGCTAATCCCTGGGGTTGGGCCAGGGATAATGAGGTTGGGGAGGAAATACCTGGATGATGCTGGATGCTCTTCAGCCAGAAAATGAGGTGGATTCCTCTGATTTGCTGCACCTTCTAATACACACTGTTAGTAGTATATAATGTGCAGTGAAATCATAGTAAGCAACTTCTGTACAGGAAAGGAACCTGTACAACTGTGCAAAACTGAACTTATGCTGGCGTTCAGCTCTAAGTGCTGGTTCACATATATGTGGATTGGATGCAGTTTGAACTGCATCCAATCCACATGACATATAAAATAACAATGCTTCCTATGGCGCCTGCTCACATACTGTATGTCTGGTGCACTGACAGTGCGAATTTAAAAAGAGTCTTGTACGATTTCTGAGCAGTGCAGTCCGGTTTAGGTGCGGGTTAGAACCATTTCTAAATCGCACATATGTGAACATGATAAAAGCCTGGCCTGAATCTATCCTGAACCTAATGTAAACCTGACCAGAATCCCTGAATAACTACTGTGCCAATTAGCTGTGAAACCTGATTTCAATCCGCACTACACGTGTGAATCAGCTCTAACAGGTATTTTCACTTTTACAGTCGAATTTGAGAAAACCCCACTTTATGTTTCTATGTGTTCCTATTCAATAGCAAAAAAAAAAAACATTTTTTTACCTTTCAGATTTTTCTAAGAGCCAGGTGTTATAGCTGATTTTATTATTGTCCCCACACAGAGTGAGCTATACCTCATTAACATACAATTCAGAAGGGTAGTTTCTACATTTTAACTCTTTGTTAGGACAGATGGCTTACAGCTGATAATAAATAACTGAAAACAGTACAGAAATGTAAAAAGCACTTATAAAGGTATTCAGGCATTTTTTTTAAAGTTATATGTGATTGGGAAATAGTCAAATTGTCACTCAGCTATGTTGTGGACCTATTGGTATACCAAGCTTAGGAAAGCTGTCTGCTCCAGTATCCTTTGCTGGTTCCACAGGATAGGAGAAATCTGAGGCCTAAGGGGGCTTCTACTGTGTTGTCCAAAAAAGGACCTGAGATGGTTTTCAGCTTTGCTTATACTCTCTATGACACCCCAGGTTATGAATGGGGAATGCTACGTGAAGACCCAAGGTTAGGATAGGAGGAGTACACAGATGCCATATCCTTAGGACCACACCTAGGGCTAGACAGAAAGTAATTTCTGTGCATGCAATCCCACATGGAAGAAATATATATTTGAAATAGATTTTGAAAATATTCTTCCCAAATATATTGACATATATTTGAAATACTACAATCTTGGCCATATTCAATATATATATATATATATATATATATATATATATATATAAAATATATATATATGAATATGTATATATATACACACACACTGCATGTTGAAATGCATTTTTTATATATTTCAAAATATATGAAAAATATTTTCAAGAATATATTTTTTTTAAATATATTCTTCAGATTTTTTTAAACATAAAAAAAGTCATTTTAACATATATTTTTACATATATTTGCAAATGCATTCCAAAAATGTAAATTAAATGTATTTTTAAGTACATACAGTATATTTGAAAATGTATTTTGAAAAATATTTTTCATATATTTTGTAATAAAAACGCATTTCAACATTATATATATATATATATATATATATATATATGTATATGTGTGTATATATATATATATATATATATATATTTATTATTGAAAAATATTTTGAAATATATTGAATACGGCCAAAATTGTAGTATTTCAAATATATGTACACATATGTAGCATGTAGCACAGGATTAATAAGATTAATACAGTCCAGGGTGCACATTGTAAGGGATAGCCGGTAAGTAAGTCTCTTTGTTAAAGGATAAGTTCACCTTTTTAACATGTTACATCTGTATTTCAAGTGTAACATGTTCAGTATCCCCCCACACACACACCCCTCTTCCATGTGACAGTGTGCAGGGGTTCTCTCCCACATAGCCACTGTCACATTTTAAATTCAGCATAGCTGTGTGGCAGAGCCCAGACAAGCTCATCATTCATTCACATGGATTTGTGATCAGCTTAATTGTAGTCAATTCACACTTCCCTCAGCTTTCAAACTGAAAGAACATACAGGCAAAAATGTATAGCTCCCAATTTCCCTGATTTCGAGGAACTGCCCCTGAAAGTCCCTCCGTCCTCATTTATCCTCATTTGTCCCTCATTTTGGTATGATCTCTATAGCTGTATATAAAATGCACTTTTTTTTCAAAAAGTGTTTTCTACTCCTAAACCTCATTCTCATTTCTAAATAGTTGCATTTGTAAATGTCAAAAGCCACTAAAAAGGAATAGTAGTGGTAAAAAAAGCACTTGTGGGTTTAACTAATCTTTTTTGGTAAAATCCTCCTTTAAAGGGGCATGGCAGGGGGTGTGTCCTATGCCTACATACTTTTGTTAATAGGTGCCCCTCGTTCTCATCTCAAAAAGTGGGGACGAATGGAAATTGGAGGGAATGTGTGCAGGAGCCTGACATTGCACCTACGATCCACTTATCATGGGTGCAATACTTTGGAGACTCCTGTGGTTAAATAATAATAAATTCACATTTTGCCTGCAAAAAATGTGTATTTAATATAATTTTTCTTTTTAAAGGTGAACTTGTACAGTGCATACAGTGCTGTTTTAATGTCATAGGCACCAGTGAAGTTGTCTTAACAAATGTGAAATGTTTTATTTATCAACTTATTTATTAACTGTAGAAAGTCAGCCTGGGGCTGGGTTAAGAGAGGGTTAATTGTAGTGAACAGGTACTTCCCTTTCAGGTCTGTTTATTAATCAGCGGATCAGAAGGGCTGGTTGATGGCAGTTTAGCTGTCTGCAGTTAGGAGATGTGGATGAAGCCTGGGTGTCTCCATAGTCTGACTTTCACCTGCTGGGTGAGCAGGGCTGCCACCTCTTCCCTTTAAAACCAAACAAATGTTAATAACACAGGTTCTGTGGCTGATTAATGTGGTCATTAAACTCACTTAGTGCCTTTCCTGCAATAAATTAGCCTCAGAACCTGTGTAATTAATGTGTTCTGTTTTAAGGGCATGAGGTGGCAACCCTGTGGGTAAGCTTGCCTGTAATGGGGACTTTGAAATGCTGTGTGTGCTGTGGCTGGAACACTGATTTTAAGTTTACTGAACTGTCTGCCAAGAGCCTGTTTACCCATCTGCTCTTGACACAACCTACAAAGTGCATGAACAGAAAAAAACAATCTAAATCAAAGCAATAGCTGGTGTAGCCACGATTTTCCTTTACACAGCATCAATTCTCCAAGGTACTCTTGCAAACAGTTAAGGATTTGGTAGGCACATGGTGCAGAGCATGATTAAACAATTAAACCACACAAATGCTAATGACCAACATGCAGTTTAAAAAACAATTGAATCAAACAGAATCAGCTGTGTAGGAGGAATGAAACTGGGTGAAGAAAAGTCCTGCTCTACTGCTAAATTTAGGCCACTGAAGACAGTTAAGCCTAAAAAAGACTGAGCACACCAACAGACACATGGTGGTTTTACTGCATCAACAAGGTTTCACACAGGTGGGACATTCAAAGAATGCAGCGGTTTCCAGATACAATGTCCAAACTTTTCTGCAGAAGCACAAAAACAGGCAATGTTGGAGACTGAAAATGCAGTGGTCTAACTTCCCTTCCCAATTGTAAGATGTCCAGTGACACCATCAGCATGGACCTGACAAAAATCAATGGTACTCTGTTACACCCATCTACAGTCTAGAGAAGTCTGGCCATAATCGTCTTCATGGCAGTTACAAAATCACTATGGAAAAAGTGCAAGTAAGATGTGTATGACACAATATAAATATGCTAAAAAATTATTTTTTTAAAATGAAAAAAAAAAACATGTAAATGCATAACACACAATTAGTGATACTACTAAAGAATAGATAAAGTGCAATAAATCCCAACTTCCCTTATACATACAGAGCTTAATAATTCATAATTCCCCTATAAACTTCATAAATACCATTAAAAAAATATGTAAACGCATACACACTAATATAAACAAATGCAAAATTCATAAAGAGTCCCAAAATATCCAGTGAGAAATTTATTTCCTCAAAATATCATCATGTTTTGTGACATGCATATGTCATGCGTGCTCAATATAAACTTGCTATGTTCCACCACAGTGAACCATCACCTTCCAGGTGTGATGACATTTCTTGGCCCCGACTCCTCAAGGAACTGGCCAAACTCACAATTCTGGACGTGATGATGTTTCATGCCACGTGTTCTCTGGATATGGGGCTATGAAACGTCATCACTCCTGGGAGTGTGAGTTCAGCCATTTTAGACACTGCTCATGCATCCTTAATGGAGCAATATACTATTGGAGTGGAAATTTAAACAAGCGATCTATCTGGTGCACTGGATTTACAAGTGCACCATTATTGTGATAGTGTTTTTAATCTTCCTTAAATAAATTATATCAAGTTACTCTGATATTGCACCATGAGATCCTTTTTATTTTATTTTTTCACATTGATTTGGCTGGAGACTTGCAGTCTTAACTACTTGCCAACCGTAGATAGCCTACACTGCGGCCGGCCAGTTCTGGGAGGGCGTTATATGACGTCCTCCCAGATCGCACTCTCCTTCGCGCCCCCGGCGATCTGCGTGATCGCTGCGTCCTATGGACGCAGCTGATCACGTGATGTGGTAAAAGGCCAATGTGATTGTGATTGGCCTTTTACCACGTAATCAGCCGTGTCCAATGACATGCTGATCACAGGGAAATGCAATTGCCGGTTCTCGGCTGCACTTTCCTCACACTGTCAGAGCGTGAGGAAAGTACTGTCAAGAACCAACAGTTGTCAGAGCAGGGATCAGCACCGATCATCAGGGCACTGATGATCAGTGCCCAACAGTGCCCAGCAGTACCACCCCCCAGTTTCGCCCACCTGTGCCCAGCAGTGCACCCTCCTGTGCCCAGCAGTGCACCCACCTGTGCCACCCTGCAGTGCCATATACCTGTGCCCAGAAGTGCCACCTACCTGTGCCCACCTGTGCCCACTCACCTGTGCCCACCAGTGCCCCCCACCTGTGCCCACCAGTGCAGCCCAGCAGTGCTGCCAGTGAGTGCCACCAGTCAGTGCCCAGAGGTTGCGCCAGTCAATGCCTAGCAGTGCCGCCAGTCAGTGCCCAGCAGTGATGCCAGGCAGTGCCACCTATCAGTGACCTATCACCTCATTAGTGCTGCCTATTAGTGCCGCCTATCTGCGCCACCTCATTAGTGCTGCCTATCAGTGCCCATCAGTGCCGCCCATCAGTGCTGCCTATTAGTGCCCATCAGTGCTGCTTCATCAATGCACATCAGTGAAGGAAAAAAATTAGCTGTTTGAAAAATTTTATAATAGAAACAAAGAAACTTTTTTTTTTTCAAATTTTTGGCATTTTTTTGTTTATAGCGCAAAAAGTAAAGTGCCCAGCAGTGATTAAATACCACCAAAAGAAAGCTCTATTTCTGAGAAAAATATGATACAAATTTCATATGGGTACAATCTTGCATGACCGCGCAATTGTCAATCAAAGTGCGACAGCGCTGAAAGCTGAAAATTGGCCTGGTAAAGAACGGGGTATAAGTGCCCGGTAGGCAAGTGGTTAAAGTGATACTTACCTATTACAGGGAATTGGAGGAATATTGTCAGTTTTTATTGCCTGAGTGTTGGGAATACGTGTTTTGCCCTTACCTTTGTGTGTGTCAAACCTTGAAGTAAGCAGCAGCACTAGAAGGTGATGATTCACTGAGGTGGAGCACATCAGCAAGTTTATATTGAGCACGCATGACATATACATGTAACGAAGCACGATATTTTGAAGAAAGAAATTTCTCACTGGATATTTTGGGACTTTTTATGAATTTTGCCTTTGTTTATATTCGTTTAATGTGTATGCGTTTACATGTGCTTTTTTTTATAGCATTTATGAAGTTTATAGGGTTATGAGTTTTATTAAGCTCTGTATGTATAAGGGAAGTTTGAATTTATTGCACTTTATCTATTCATATCATTAGTTATATCACTAATTGTGTTTTATGCATTTACATGCGTTTGTCATTAAAAAAAATGCATATTTATATTGTGTTACACAAATTTTAGTTGCTCTGCACTTTCTCCATATTGACGTCAATTGGTTTTTGAACGCACAACAGTGAGGAACTGCAACATAATATATTTTTTGTTATATACATTTGGGTTAGCGCAGAAGTTCCATTTGTTTGGTTTGTTCTGCAAAAAATCACTACATACAGCATGGAAAGAATTCCAAATGACTAGCCTAAGTACAAAAACACAAGAACTGGTATGCAGGAAAATGGCAGCAGGGGTTGCGGACCAATGAGTCCAAGTTTAAATATATGGCTGGAACAGAAGATGATTTGTTTGCACAAGGCCTACAGAGAATAAATGTTGGTGCAGGCAATATAGTGGAGGTAAATCTAAGAGAATTGATTCTATTCTGAGGTTGGATACACAGAATTAATAAAAAAAATTCATTGCTTAATATATATATATATATATATATATATATATATATATATATTTTAAAAGTTATTTTTACAGAGCTGTTTTCCAATAGATCATAAGTAAAGGTGATACTAGAGTTCGCTTTCTTTTTTTAAAATTTTGCACAGAGTAGCCCAGATCTTCCTCTTCTCGGGTCTCCTGCTGCCGCTTCTGGCTCCTCCTTCCTTATGTGCCCCCATAACAAGCAGCTTGCTATGGGGGCACCCAAGCAGACGTGTTCCCAAGCCGCTGCTCCATGTGTCCATTCACATGGAGCCACGACTTGGCCCTGCCCCTTCTCTCTTCTCATTGGCTGACTGGCTGTAGCTCCCACTTGCTGTCTCAGCCAATAAGGAGGCAAAGATCCGAGATAGCCGAGGCTGTTGTGCACATCGATGGATTGCGATGAGGTTCAGGTAAGTATTGAGGGGGCTTGGGGCACTACTGCACACAGAAGGTTTTTTAACTTCATGCATAGAGTGCAGGAAGGTAAAAAACCTTGAAACTTTACAACCACTTTAACTAAGATCTAATTTAAATGAACCTAACTGGATGTTTATAGCAGGCAAGTCTTTGCTAGATCTCCCCAATTGTAGGAATAGCAGACACCATAGGCACAGAAAATCAGTAGCAATTTTGTTACAGGCATATTTCATTGTTGGTCATTTTTTACTTCTAAGTTTTACAGAAACAGAAAAAAGGACATATATTGCATTTGAAGAAAGTGTATATGTCTCACAAATAATTTCTTGATTTAATAAAAAGAAAAAACAAATCACGTTCATTTGAGCACTGTAATACAATCCCTTTTTGACTGATTTAAAATTTAGTCCTTTTTTGTCAAGGAAGCTTAAGCAAAAAGGCATCACTTTGTATAATAGTCATATTTTCTAGCTTTAATTAGCTTAGTGTAGGCATTATCAGCGCTCATTGTGAATTTTGTTAAGTAATGTTAACGTCTGAGTGAAGTAGTAATTGTTATTTGGTTAAATATGGACAGTCATAAAAAAAATCTCATTTATAATCAGCAAGCTTATCCCATTTTAATTTAGCACTTTAGCATTCAGAAATTAACAGGTTTATTCTGTCTTTGTAAGAGCATTGTGCAATGTGCAGTAGCTCACAGTAGCCAACCAGAAAGTTTGATTCATTGTACTGATTCGATCAAACTGAAATCTTATTAGTTCCCATGGATTGATGTACTCTGGTTTTTCACTACTTACATATGAACCAGTCTCATATTTATAAAACTCTGTCTAACTGTTACTGATCCCATACAAATGATCCTGAAACTAGAACCTGCTAGGAACATTTTGGTCACGTGTCAACAGTTTGGTCAAGAAAATTGTTTCTCTAGGGTGAATATGTATGTAAGTACTCATAGACACTTTTTCCAATTCTGATTGACATATTTTAACCTTACAGCATGCTACAAAGTCAAGACAACGCAGTATCGTTAGAAAAGCGCCACACCCTAAAAAACTAAAGCAGCAAATTCCTACTTCAAAAAACTCATAATTTTTTTGACCAAATAAATAAAATTAAATGAATGCGCTAAAAAAAAAATATTCAATAAATAAAAAAGTAACAAAGTATTAATAAATAAATCAATAAATGTCCAAAAAATAAATGTCCAAAAAATATATATGTGTCCAGAAGAATATATATATATATATGTGTCCAAAAATATATATGTCCAAAAACAAATCTTTTTGCAAATCAAATTTGTGTCCACACCGTGTCAAATCCACCACCAAAGAAGTTGGATCACTCACCAGAAATCACTGCTGATCAACAATTGGACCAGCAAACAACACTTTTGCTCTGGGAGCAGTAGATATCAATTAAGTTCTTAAATGGAATCTTTTGCAGACAACCGATATCCTATAGGATGAATCGCCACCATTCAAAACTATGGCTAATTTCCAGGGGTATATATCATCTCCAGATCGTATGTCTCCATCTCATTGGGGCCATATTCAAAGGTAAAAAGAAAGGATCATAGTGCAGCAAGCTTTAAAACATATAAAAGCTTTAATATATCAATCGCACTCACATTTTAAGGTGTCTACACCGACACCAGTATCATGGGCAGTGAATCAAGCAAACAATGTTTTGGCACACCACCGCACGCCACGACCTTTCTGATCCTAAAACCCAGCGATTATTCTCAGACGTCGGCATCCAGTAGGCCACGCCCTATCGGTTGTCTTCAAAAGATTCCATCTAAGAACTTAATTGATATCTACTGCTCCCAGAGCAAAAGTGTTGTTTGCTGGTCCAATTGTTGATCAGCATTGATTTCTGGTGAGTGGTCCAACTTCATTGGTGGTGGATTTGACACGGTGTGGACACAAATTTGATTTGCAAAAAGATTTGTTTTTGGATATATATATTTTTGGACACATATATATATATTCTTCTGGACACACATATATATTTTGGACATTTATTGATTTATTTATTAATACTTTGCACTTTTTTATTTATTGAATATATGTTTTTTTAGCGCATTCCTTTAATTATAAAGTCAAGACAACACCTGGACCCTATTTTGTTCAACAAATTCCCCTATGTATTTTTAAATGAAAAAAGCATGCAGTGTCAGAAAAATAAAGCAACTAAGATTGAAAACTACCAACGGAGAACAGACCAACATTAGAAGGAGGCCCAAGATATACAGACTGAGAAAATGGAACATGTAGGTAGCAAGCTTGAAAGCCAGGGGACTGGATACTGGAATACACAAGGCTAAGAGCTGTGTTGACTATGGAGAATGAAGCAATGCCATTAACATGCCTATACTTTTTCTGATAAGTTTTTAAGGTTTTTTTTTGTTGTGTTTTTGAAGCATTGAAAAAGCAACAAGAAAGCTTGTCATGAAATTGTTGCTTGTCTAGGGGGAAGTGCTAAAAGGGGAATTAAGTATAGAAAATGATCTGCTTTGATGTTTGTTTAGGTTATGGCATGATAGTAGGTGTTTTTGTAATTTCACTGCAAAATGGATTCATTCACTTGGTTCAGCTCACAATGATAATGGAAAGATTATCACAGTAACTTGCTGGTACCTTACTGGTTTCTTCCAGAAAAAGCTTTGCTGTTGGGAATAATGAGGGTGAGACCCAGATATTCTGAATGGTGCAAGATTGGGGGAGGAGCCAGAAAAAAATGCAGTGTCAGCTGTGAGGGGACGTGAAAACATTACGTGTTTTGGCCTATGGGCAAAGATTTGACTCAGGAGATTTATTTTTAGAAAAAGGGCTCCAAGGCACCCTGGTACATGAAGGCTCAGGGTCTGGTAAAAGGTCTAATTACCGGTATATAGCACTACAATATGTGGTGCGTACAATATCGTAAAAACTAAGTGAAGGATAGAGAGATGGGGAGTAAGACATCATCACATTACGTTGCTAAAATTAAATGATCTCTCTCATGGTATGTCTATAGAATACTAGGCAGCCTGCTCTGGTAGACTCAGTGGCAATTCTACAAGAGACCAGTCAGGAGGCTGGTTACTGCAGTAAAAGAATACATTTTCTTGGGAGCATGAAGAAGAATGCATTGTTGAATTGATAGTGATCACTATGCAAGATTTTGAAAATCCTTGAAAAACCTCCCTAAGAGGGAAGGAGATACCTGCCACTTGTGAGTGTAAGCATCAAGGGGTTGTAAAACAGAACAACTTGCTTTGAGAAGCATCAAGTAACAATGTTTAGCATGGATAAAAACAAACACTGGAGAGAGGACAGAATTAGATCTTTTTTGTGTACTTCTCCAAAGAAAAGACTGAAACAAGAAGCTGAGACATCTTTGCCCAATGTGGTGCAATTGTTACCAGATTTCCCTCTCTAACCCTATTTAATGTAAAGAAGGTTTTTGAACAGGTCCAGTGGGCTTAGCTGTGAGTGGTTTGCCACAAGGGGGAGGACCTGCAATAGATGATGATTCCCTGAGGAGAAAAAACAGATTGTATCTGCAAGGAAAGGGAGGCACATAGACCCATGGGCAGGTAAGATTGAGGATAGTGGGGCAGGACCGCTGCCCCCCCAAAAGCCACCTCAATATATTCCTCAAGGGAACTTCCAAGGAGGGACCTACCTCCAAAAAGGAATGCTTTAAAAGCTACTTTCATGAGGGCATTCTGCTGACCAGGCTTAAAGCCATAGGATTCTGTGCATTTTTGAGATCTGATGGATAACTTTCTCCATTGTTTCTACACCGATGACAGTGCTGAGGGCAAGAGTTGTAATCTTGTAGTAATATTAGGATTATTTATAATTTGGAAAAAATTCATCATTGATTTCTCCAGTCCAACTTGGCATGGTCTGGCCAAAGATAACTTCAAAAGAATCTTCAGACTCCTATCAACTAAACTGAACTGGGGAAAACTAGAACAATTTTATTGAACAGAAGAAGGGGTCCATCACCTAAACACACTAGAGAGAAACTGGAGCATCACAGAGCCGGTGGGGTTATATGAGTACACTGGGGGGGGGGGGGGGGTAGTTCCCAGCAAAGCTTTTGCCAGTGTCCAATCACATGAAGGTAGTGGCATATAACCCATGGTCTAAGAATCACCTCCTGTGTTTTGTATTGTACGATTAAGATAAGAGGGTTTTTTTTTAAAGTACACCTGATTTTTGTATCCAGTGGTAATAGCTCTGAATTGAAATGTGGAAGTAGCATCCACAACAGTTCTAAAAGCTGTAGGAAAGTTTACTCTTAAAAAAGGTGAAGCTAAAGCCCTCAGCTTGGCCAGTGGCAAACAATTAATTAGTATAGCTTGTGAGTTTCCTTTTTTGCAGGACCACACTGCATTGTATTCTAAACAGTAAACTGTAAATTGCCAAAACCGATTGTGCAAACACACTTGAAAACCACAGATTCATTCCCTGAACCCCAGTCCATCCTTTTACCTCTGATTATTCCCACCATATTCAAAAAATGGTCTTTAAGTATGTGTTTGCTAGAAAGACTCAATGCAAGCACTTTAATAAGCAGCTAATAGACAAGAGAGTAATAGTCACAAATATTGTTCTGTGACTGAACAGTATATAAGCAGTTTAATTAGATCACAATTTAAGATGGAGAGACAAGGCTATTTTTTATTTTGAAATAGTAATTAGAGTATATTATTTGAGAGACAATAGCCATAAAATATTGTACAATGGCTAGACATTGCAGTTCTGTGCCGATGCTCACTGCTACTGCAGCTGCAAAAAAGCTAGACTATAACCACCTGCAACCCCTTTCCCATGCAATCTAGTGGAAATGATATGCCCTGGTTTGGCAGCATGGCAGATTCTCATTCACAATTTCTTTCTTTTTTTTTTTTACTTAGTTTATCATTTTTTAAATGTTTTTATTTCCTTTATTTTTCCCTTTTCATGCATTTTTTGTATTGATGTGGTGGTTAGACACGTGCATCCCGAAATTTTCATTTAATTTTGGATGCACTTGTTAATTGAAGAATTTTGTTTTGTCATATTCATTATGTTGAATAGATTCATTTTCTGAATTTGTCTTGTATCTTCAGCATTTGTTTTGAATATTTGTTGGTGCGGGTGGATTTGAAAAGTTTATCAAAACTATTCAGAAGGATTTTATATTTTCAGATACATCAAAATAAAATTAACAACCATGACTCATCTGCTGTCAGTGGGATTCCCTTGAAAATACAAGGTCAGCAAAAAATGAAAGAGGAAAAAGGAGTGAAGACAAAGAGTAAAATAGCTAAAAGGGGTTGTGAAGCATTTCTCTGTTCTTCGTATGGCAGTCTTTGCCCTGGTCAAGCAAACAAGCTCAGGGGCAGCAATGCAAACCTAGTTAAAATCAATGGCAGCTGGGAAGGAGGACAATAGAACAAGAGTATGTACCAGTCAAATGTTGTGGACAGACATTGGTTCTTTAAACTATTTTTCAGAGTGCAGGACTGTGCACACAGGCAGGACACATAAGAAAATGTACCACAGGCACTATAATTACTGTATTTTTCGCTCCATAAGACACACTTTTTTCCCCCCCAAAAAGGGGGGAAAATGTCAGTGTGTCTTATGGAGCGAATGTAAAGCAGCTGGTCCGGTATTTCTGCCGCCACCATTTCAGAATATCGGGCCAGCTGCTCAGCTCTTCTCTCCTGCAGGACCTTACTTGTTCCTCGCTCCATCGCTGTACAGTCTTCCCGCGGCGGCTTCTGTGACAGCCGGGTGCCCACTGCGCATGCGCGAGAAGCACTGCGCTTTGTGAATGGTCCGGTGTCTTCTGGGACACATGACAGGTCCCAAAAGGCTCTGGGTCATTCACAAAGCGCAGCACTTCTCGTGCATGTGCAGTGGGCACCCGGCTGTCACTGAAACCGCCGCGGGAAGAAGAAGGAAGGACAACTCTGGTCATTCCCTGTACTATGTCTGCAGTCTCTGGTCATCCCCTGTACTGTGTCCACAGTCTCTGGTCATCTCTGTACTGTGTCCGCAGTCTCTGGTAATTCCCTGTACTATGTCTGCAGACTCTGGTCATTCCCTGTACTATGTCCGCAGACTCTGGTCATTCCCTGTACTATGTCCACAGTCTCTGGTCATTCCCTGTACTATGTCCGCAGTCTCTGGTCATTCCCTGTACTGTGTCTGCAGACTCTGGTCATTCCCTGTACTATGTCCGCAGTCTCTGGTCATTCCCTGTACTATGTCTGCAGTCTCTGGTCATTCCCTGTACTATGTCCGCAGTCTCTGGTAATTCCCTGTACTGTGTCCGCAGTCTCTGGTCATCTCCTGTACTATGTCTGCAGTCTCTGGTCATCTCCTGTACTATGTCTGCAGTCTCTGGTCATTCCCTGTACTATGTCTGCAGTCTCTGGTCATTCCCTGTACTATGTCTGCAGTCTCTGGTCATTCCCTGTACTATGTCTGCAGTCTCTGGTCATTCCCTGTACTATGTCTGCAGTCTCTGGTCATTCCCTGTACTATGTCTGCAGTCTCTGGTCATTCCCTGTACTATGTCTGCAGTCTCTGGTCATCCCCTGTACTGTGACTTTAAAAGTCTTTACAGCTCATAAGTTCAGAGTTAACCAGAAGCACTTATGCTAGAATTTTTGCTCTCATTCTGATGTTCATGGTGATGGTTTACATATGCATGTGCATCCTGGACTGCGTTTGAGCATGTGTGCAGAGCTACAAGGGTTACAGCAATTTTTTACAAAATTTTTAATACATGTTGTTATAATTTTATTTTTTTTTAAAATGTTTTCATTTATTTATTTTTACTTGATTTCTATCACAAGGGGTTAATAAATACCCATACGATAGCATTGCTTAGGTGGCAGGTACTCTTTATGGGGACATTAGGGATCTAACAGACCCCAATGTTTCCCCTGATCTTCACACAGATCTGCTCGGTTAGATGTGACCCCTAGTTGTGCCAGCTAGGAAATGAAGGATCTGAAACTGGAAGTGACAAAACCTTCACCACTTTCAGTTTCTTTGTTTACATGTGAGATCAAGGAATGGATATGGCTTGCTCTTACACCCCTCTCCATCCTCAAGCCAGCAGTTTTGGTCCTTGGCTCCCAGTAAGAGCGGGAAAGCCTGGGAACCATAGGGGGAGGGAGGCTGCCTATCAGGGAACGAGAAGATCGCCGCAACGCATGATTCTGCGCCTGCGCAGGATTCCGACAAGGCATACAGGCAGGGGGGCACTAGGACTAAGGCGCACCTGTCACCGATGACGGTGCCGGGCAGGCACTAGGACCCAGGCGCGCCTGTCGGCACTGGGCGGGCTATTTAAAGAGCACCTCAGAATGATTCAGTGCTGACTGGTCTTTCAGCTGCCCCCTGTGTTCTGCTTGTTCCTGACATTCCCTTTGTTGCTGACCTGGCTTGTTCCTGACCCGACTCCGATTGCTCTCCTGCTCCTGGTTCCTGACTTCGGCTCTGCTCCTGACCTTGGCTTTCTCTTCTGATTTGGTACTGCGCTGCACGACTGTTTATGACCCTGGCTTGTCTGACCCTGCTCCAGTCCTGTTCCTGGCTACCTACCCTGCTCTGCTGCACATCCAGCAATCCACAGTACCTGCCTGCTCTATTGCTACTGTGCCCTAAATCAGTGGATACTCAGTCTACCAAGGCAATTATCTGCAAGAGCCACAAGCAACAACTCCTGGCGCTCTTGTCCCCCTGGTCCCTAGACTCCCTCTGTTCCAACCTCAGTGGAGTCAGGGCTAGGGACACAAGTGATGCCGACCTCGTCAACTCAGTCTCCCATCAGGTACGTGACACTGTCACTGGCGGGAGACAGAACTCCCCACTCTGTGAACATAAAAGGCGGCTATACAGCCATCGCATCCCTTTCACTTTTATGCCAAGAGCCAACTAAACAAGCAGAGCACAAGCTGATGTCTGCAGCAGCAGCCATCAGTTTGTGATTAACAGTCACTCTTTGGTAGTATGAAGTACACCCAAAGTGCTGAACTATGTTAAAGAACTCAAGCATAGTTCTTAACATAGATATACTGTAAATCCAACCACTAAAATTTCATAAAAGCTTTAACATGACAATATTACTCCGAAAGCCTACAGTGATCAATTGCTTTCATGAAAATAATAGCTGGCAATATTGATATAGAGGTCCATGTTTGGGAACTTTGTATTATAAGGTGACAATGCTCGCCTCTGCCCACCACAATAGCTTCTGTGCTTATGCACATTGCCCAGTCATATTCCATTGTTGTCACCCTTTACAGAAGACCTTCTAATAAAATGGAAGATCTGCTTTAGGAAAGTCCCCCACCACTACCAAAGTCATATCACTGGCACAGATTATAGGTGATATAAAAATAAAGCTGATGATGACATCACATGGTAAAGGACCAATCATAGCAGCCTTTTACCACATGATCAGCTGTGTCCATCACAGCTGATCACCATGTAAACACACTTGCCGGTTATCGGCAGTACTTTCTTCAGTGCCCTGATTATCAGTGCAGCCCCAAAAGTGCCCAACAGTCCTGCCAATCGGTGCCCATCAGTGCTGCCAATCTGTGCTCATCAGTGGCGCCAAACAGTGCCACCTATCAGTGTCACCAGTCAGTGCCCTTCAGTGATGCCTATTAGTGCCCCTCAGTGCCGCCTAATAGTGCCCATCATTGCCACCTATCAGTGCTCATCAGTGCAGCCTCATCAGTCCCTCCTCATCAGTGCCCACCAGTGCTGCCTCATCAGTGCAGCCTATCAGTGCTGGCTATTGGTGTTGTCTCATCAGTGCCCACCAGTGCTGTCTATCAATGCCTATCAGTGCAGCCTCATCAATGCACATCAGTAAAGAAGAAAAATTACCTGTTTGCAAAATCGTATAATAGAAACTAAGAAAAACTATTTTTTCAAAATTTTTGTTTTGTTTTCAATTTGTTTAGCAAAGGGGCATGGTTTGAGCCCTGAGGAAGATGGCCGCCTGATCCCGGAGCTCTGACACGCAGAAGAGAGACTGCACCTGTCATAAGCAGGGAGAGCCGCCGCTACCATGGGGAAGGCTGACAGGTAAGCCTCCGCCCCACAATTGCGGTCCCCCTGCCTGATGAGCAGTCCATTTAGCCACAGTGTACCTGACCTATTCCAGTCCCAGGCCCTGGAGCACACTACGGCCTCATCCCCTGCTGCTTCCTCCCACTCTGCACACAGAGCATCCGGCTTTCACAGCAGGAGCCCAGCTGCAGCAGCCACAGCACATCCACCAACATTATCCCCTCTCACTATGGGGGATCTTAAAGCAGTGGCACTGGATATCAAAGAGACCCTTTCTGCAGCGATTGCTGATTTGAATATTGACATGCAGGCAGTGGCACAAAGATTAGAAGCAGTGGAGGACAAAATTATCACACAGGATCTTGCCCTACATGATACGCAGCAACTGGTAGATACGCATGCTACGCATCTGCGTGAGATTGATGGTCATATTGAAGATCTGAACAACAGGGGATGGCATCACAACTTAAGGGTGCATGGCGTACCTGAGACGATTGAGACGGGTCAGTTACTACAAACAATCCTAACCATTTTTAACGATCTTCTTGAAAGACCCCAGGAGTCGCCTATTGATATTGAACGTCTCCACACGGCTCTGCGACCTAAAAGCAGGGACACAGAAGCCCCCCCCCGAGACGTAATCTGCTGCCTAGTGGATTTCCGACTCAAGGAAGAATTATTACGCAGAGCGTGAGAAAGAAATCGCATTATTTTCAACGAAGCAAAAATTTGATTATTTCAAGATCTTTCACATATTACATATGTCCTTCAACACAGAAAGGACTTACATCCCTTGCTTGATCTACATCGCTCCTGCGGCATAACGTATTGCTGGAAATTTCTGTTTGGCCTTTCAGCTTCACACCTGGGACGAATGGCTATCCTGAGATTCCCAGAAGATGTACTGCCATTTTGCGAGACCTTCGATATCCCAACAGTAGACCTGACCCCCTGCTTACCACCCCAGACAGGGGATGACCGCATGGATGCCCAGCCATCAAGAGACCCTGGAGGAGCGAGACGCCATAGACCCTCCCCCCGACCTCCATCTTCACCAACCAGGCGCAGACCCACCATCGGGGAAAGTCTTCCAGCATCCCCAGCTCATCGCAAGACACATCGTGAATGACGTTTTCTCTACATCAGAGTTTTTACCGTATTTTTCTCGGTATAATGTCTGATCATTGTCTTGATCCTGTCTCCCCTAATCCTCACACGAAGGCCGTCTTACTTCCCTTTTTTGAGGTTCTGGGGTATGTGTGTCTCATAATACTCTCTTAATATTCATCTATATGTTAGGTTTATGTTCCTACTATGTTATTATCCGTATTTGATGTAATTTCACACTCTCAGCTGGCTGTCATTTTACATTGTCATGCAAACTACTGGGTACAGTGTTTAGTGACCTGGTGCCTCCACAATTGATAAGTAACACCCTGCTGTATAGTGTTGGTTAAATTAGCATATGTTATTACCTTATTGGCCAGGCTGAGAAGATTGCTAGTATACACTAGAAATGTTCTCCTTACTTATATTTCGTTTAACTATTTGCAGAATGTTTCTATGCAGATTTATATATTTTTGATAACGTGAGCCTTAACAAGTACTTTGGTACATTCATTCCTCGGACCGATCTTTGAAAAGAGACCTCACTTTTGGTTAGCATCCCAATAGTGAGACATAATACAAAATGTGCCTATATTTTGTTTGAAATGCTGTTTTGTACTGCAGTAAATGTTCAACTATATACTTTGGCAATACACAACCCCGTTATACTATCGCACCGTGATTTATATATCCACTGATGTTCTTTTAGGGAACGTTTTACTGGTACATCACATCCTCCCATTTCTTCTACCATCTCCATTGTTGAGTAGACTAATTGGGATACTGCACGTCATCCGTCCACACCATGCACACTCCCCATACTTTTGCTCCTTCCATAACCATATATGCTCTCTCCATACAGCATCATGATGCCTTTCTTGGTTCCTCCGTGTGTTGTTGTTACCCCTTCTTTCTGATCCCACCACACCCATAATTATTTGCACTCGCATACAATACAAGTGCTAGGCCTTGTCTTTGGGACTCACTCACTACCCCACACAGTGGACTCCCTAGAGTCTGACTGGCCCTGTCTGCACCAGGGCACAAACAGCAAAACAAAACAACAAAACCAATAACAGAATAAAAGATAACAACAAAGCACGGAGTGCTTCTCATACGCTTTCAGTGGCATCTCTAAACGCTAGAGGTCTGAATCTGCCTGAAAAACGCTCACAACTATTGACTTGTATGAAAAGCTTACGAGCAGATGTGATTTTCATTCCGGAAACTCACTTCCGTGCTGATCATGTCCCTAAATTTTCCATCGCAATGTACCCGACAGTATATCATGCAGTCAATACAGAGGTGAAAACAAAAGGTGTATCCATTTTAATTACTAAGACTCCCACTTACGATTATTGATTCTCTTGAGGACTCAGAAGGTCAGTTCCTCTTTCT